TAATGAACATTTTCTTTCTTTCGGTTCGCCCCGATTATGTTTCTAGGTATGTGAGCACCATACCCGTGCTCGTGGGTTTCACCGAAGTGGTAAACGTCAAAGACCTGCATCACTTCGGGCTTCCCTCCCACATTAAGCTGACACGCCGTGATATAACTGGAATAATGTTAAAAGCGGCGTTGAACCTAACTCAATCACCCACTTACTAAAGCAGTCTGGATTTTGTTAATGAAAAGGTAGTGAGTGAGTTTGGTTTTACGCCGCTTTTAGCAATATTCCAGCAATATCATGGCGGGGGACACCAGAAATGGGCTTCACACATTGTACCCATGTCGGGATTCGAACCCGGGTCTTATGCGTAACGAGCGAACGCTTTAACCACTAGGCTACCCGACCGCCCCTAATGAACACGTAATACCTGCAATGTATGGTTCAACCTAGAATTCTTACATTAAAAGATAATGTACATACCTCGTGTGTTATATGTATGATTGAAATGAGGCCGTTCGTCTGCATTTACACGTTTTCACAAAAACAATATAACTGAGTCAAACTTAAATAGCAATATGCATTAAAAAGTACAGCTTGCTACCACGACATCTGCTTGTTAAAAACGCTTATTTCCGACTACACGAATGTTGTTGAACTCGAAACATGTTTGACATTGATTATATGCTGTACCGTGGAGTTCATACGTAAATAATACTTTTGCCTAAACCTAAATCACATACATTTGACTGATACGTCCGTTAATAAATACAACCAACTTAGTCTTTTACCCGAATACATGGTCAAGAACATGAAAAGAAATACATTTACTGCTGATAATGACCGCCTCCGTGGTCTAGTGGTAGAGCGTACACCCGGAGAGGCGTCATACAAAAAGACGTTAAAAGATGGTACTTGTTGTTACCCTGTCTGACGCTCGACATAAAGGGGCTAAAACAAGGGCTGGTCGGCTCGGAGTCAGTATACTATGTCTGAGTGGGGTATTCAAGTTAAACTGCGGCATGGTATCTCAGTGAGCTAGCACTATAAATCGGCATCAGTCCGGACTAGTACAAGCAGCCACACACAACACACACACGTGCATTTACGTCACTATATAAGTGCAATATTCTTTGACGCGACGTTAAACCAAGTTCAACTCACCTCACCTCACCTCACCTCACCTCACCTCACCTCACCTCACCTCACCTCACCTCACCTCACCTCACTGCTAATAGAATAGTAAAACAAAAGCTATAAAACAATGTCAGTTATAATTTCAGAGAAATATTAAGAGAATATGATTTCCCTTCAAAGAAACCAAAGTGTCTATGGCCAGCTTCTTTATTGGGGATTTCTCGACAGTGAGGTACCCCCGGGGCTAGCCAGTATATATACTCTGGCCACCTGGACTGGTCACCGATTTACTGCATGTTCAATTATCCGCTTGATAATATAGTTTGCGATCGTGCGCCGAGAAGATGGATTAAGCAGCTTTCCTAAGAAGTTTGACCAAGTGATGTCCACAGAAGTTCAATAATATTTAATGAGTTGTCCGAAAACACTGATATACTAAGATATAATGTCATTGTGACAGGCTGAGATACGTAAAGCTAGATTATTCTGACCATGCTTATGCTAAGGATGCTTTGGGGTTGTTGGGTAGCCCAGTAGTTAAAGTGTTCGCTCGTCTCGTCAAAGACCCGGGTTCGAATCTCCACATCGGTACATTGTGTGAAGCTCATTTCTGGTCTCTCTCGCCGTGATATTGCTGGAATATTGTTAAAAGCGGAGTAAAAAAATACTCACTCACTCACTCAGGATGCCTTATGCGGTGTTATATTATTTTCTAGACAACTGCGACCTTCACATTTGAGACTGACTGAATACAACAATTTACGTTTACTTAAATTTAACAGAATAACAACTATAACCAGTGTTAACTTTAATATAAATATTGAAGCCAAACGACCAATTTTAGCACTATGTCATACACTCTTCAAACATGAAACGCACAGGTAGGTTTTAACTAAATTTATTGTACCAAATAAAGTCGATATATTTATTTTAATGTCATAGATACAAATATGAAATTTTACTGCTCGATATTCAAATGTTGTCGTTGTACAAAGGCATTGAAAACTGTTCATGGTCGTGTCACATAAGGCCACAAGTTTGCGCTGAACTCAGTATCTCATGTGACCACCCCGGGCAGCAATCACGGCTCTGCATCTCCTAAGCACTGACTGGATGGTGTGTTCTGACGTTGGGCTTACACGTCGATCGATACATCCCAGAGGTGTTCGATTGGGTTGAGATCTGGAGATCTCGACGGCCAGGGCAAGTCGTTGATGTTGGCATTATGGAGGTAGTCTACCGTGACACGAGCTGTGTGCGGTGGAGCGTTGTCCTGTTGAAACAGCTCCCTCTGGCAGTCCATGATTGGAAGAAGGTGAGGTTGAAGAATTTGATTCTTGCAGCGATTTGTCAAATTTCCATGAACCACAACCAAATCAGATCTCCTGGTGTAGGGTATGCGCTGTCGATGTATCTGTAGCAAGACAGGGACGATAACTGTTCTTCTGGGTCGGATTCCAGCCACGCGAAGATGGTTCCTGACATTCTTGTCCGATATCCTCCTCAAACCAGGGATGCGCCCTGCAGTCTCCGTAGCTGTGGTATTGCGATGACGTAGGTGGAACAGTCGAATGTAGCGATCCCGTGTAGGGGTGGTAACTCTTGGTCGGCCGGTTCTCGGACGGTCTGCAGTGGAATTGAACTGTGTGTATCGGTCACAAAAGCGGCAAATTGTGCTGTGGTGGACGTTGAAGTGGCGTGCAAGTGCATACTGCGATTCCCCTCTTAGAATACGTCCTATGGCGATGTTCCGATCGGCAGCGTTGAGTCTCGGCATTTTCGAACTTGTAAAATGTTGACAATTGAATGACAAATTATTGGCTTATGCTTGCCTTTGTATAGCCACTAGTTACGAATGCCATAACTTGAACGTGCATTTTGCTTTTCTGTTTTCCTCCATGACATTTTTTAACAAGTGTGAAAACAATGCCGTTTAAGACATTGCAAATCGACAATGGCTGCGTTTTGTCAACATTTTCCAATAACATATATCCAATTTATGTACTGGATTTTTTGTGTAGTCAGGTTCAATGAGCTACATACTACCTGTGCGTTTCTTTTTTTTTTGATGATTGATAATGACATGTCTAAGCATTTAATTCCGTTACTTTTAAAATATGGAATGATGTTACCGTCTGTCTACTGATAATACTTGTCAATCTCAAATAGACCAGTTGTAAGGCTTGTGTCTCACACGGACGGAATCTGCCTGACAATGTCTGTTGTCCTTAAAGTAGTGATACCTATTATGTATTTTTTTTAAATAAACCCAGAAAGACTCGACCCACTGCCAGAAGGTCTTGGAAACTGATTAAATCTGATTAAACGTATATTTAAAGATTTCAGGACGTAAGGCAGATATTCCCCTTGAGTAAGTACAATTAATTAGTAATACAAATTTACTATTCAAGGTAGTAATGGATACTGATCGACTTATGCTTATCGTAAGAGGCGACTAACGGGATCGGATGGTCAGGCTCGCTGATTTGATTGATGCATGTCATCCTATCCCAGTTGCGTATATCGATGCTCATGTTGTCAATCACTGGATTGTCTGGTCCAGGCGCGATTATTTACAGACAGCCGTCATATAGCTGGAATATTGCTTCAAAATTAGCTCGGTCGCTGATCAAAGTTACTGTACATACTTGAGACAGGGTGTACCCTTCAAAATTAGCTCAGTCGCTGATCAAAGCTACTGTACATACTGGAGACGAGGTGTACCCTTCAAAATTAGCTCGGTCGCTGATCAAAGTTGCTGAACATACTGGAGGGGGGGTGTACCCTTCAAAATTAGCTCAGTCGCTGATCAAAGTTACTGAACATACTGGAGACGGGGTGTACCCTTCAAAATTAGCTCAGTCGCTGATCAAAGTTACTGAACATACTGGAGACGGGGTGTACCCTTCAAAATTAGCTCGGTCACTGATCAAAGTTACTGAACATACTGGAGACGGGGTGTACCCTTCAAAATTAGCTCAGTCGCTGATCAAAGTTACTGAACATACTGGAGACGGGGTGTACCCTTCAAAATTAGCTCGGTCACTGATCAAAGTTACTGTACATACTGGAGACGGGGTGTACCCTTCAAAATTAGCTCGGTCGCTGATCAAAGTTACTGTACATACTGGAGACGGGGTGTACCCTTCAAAATTAGCTCGGTCACTGATCAAAGTTACTGTACATACTGGAGACAGGGTGTACCCTTCAAAATTAGCTCAGTCGCTGATCAAAGTTACTGTACACGAAAAGTGACGTAAATCAGCGACAAAGCAAACCCTTCAGCATCTTCCTATTTAAACATCGTGATGTTCTTGAAGCAAATAACTGCGATCTCTTCATTGGATTTCAATGGTATTTTGAATTGAACTGATGTTTATCTTGGGTTAACATGGGCTGTAAATTATCACAGGTATATGCTGCTCAAGGTTTGTCACGGGTTGCCAAGTCGTTTACGGCGCCGCAATTCGATGCGCAGAGTTGCGTCCCTTAGCTGTGCCGAAATCTCTATGATTGTGGGCTCGACGATTCGCCCTCATTACGGTACTACGGTTCTAGGTTCTAGGTGGCAAATATAAAAAAAGTTCTTAATTAATTGGATTTTCCTCATACGTCATGCTGATTTTTTTTTAAAGTTTTTAAAGTTGTATTTAAATTTTCAGACCGCAAAAGCCAGCTCATTCATCAAAAGAATCTTGACTGTGTAAGCTATGATCTACATATTGAAAATTACACATTTCACCAAATAAATGATGGAACCGGTCCTTTAGCTATAAGAGAAAGGTTTAATTGACTACTGGGACCTTTGTTAGACTTGATTATAACGGTATTAAAACATTGCATTCTTGCACTATCACAAATATTCGCAGAGACAGCAGGTTATGTTACGATTATCTCTACAGAACTATTTATAACCTTATCTGTAAGACTGACATTCAAACCAGACAACTCTCTAGCAACATGTTGCCACGTTATGTAAGTAAATATATATCTTTAATTCAGTAGATTTATGGTACATAGCATAATTCTATTAGGAAGGTACTGGAACTTCCAATTTGTAAGCTCAACTCATTTGTAAGTGATAAGGAACTGTCTGGCGTCTTAATAAAGTTTCCGTCAAAGATCTAGAAGTCTATTCGTTTCCATATTATTTCCAATATTTCCAAATTCTGTTACCAGAGTACAAAAGCAAGTCTTTCGTTCAATTGGAATCTGCGATGAGAGCAAGAAATAAGTCATGGTCCAACTTCAACCCTTCCCTTCTTTGTCATAGTGCCATCTAAATTACCTAGGCCAGTACAGATAGAGCTGTTAAATCATATGGAAGGCGTGGGAGTGGGAGCAGGAGTGACGAAAACTGTCGTTATAAAAGTTATTCCCTTTTATCCCCAAACCTAAAGAACTGATTGTCAACAATGATCTGTTCCTGAAGGTAATACGCGAGGGATTGGGAGATATACTTAAAATGCTTCCTATTTGTTACTGAATACACTGCCGGACCAATCAACGTTAACACCCATGTCTGATGGGGGCTAAGTATGAAATAAACCAACATTGTTAATTCGGGGATGATGTATTTGATAGGGTAACAAGGTTCTGGCTTGGACCTTAATTTGCAGTGTTTTAACGATTTTTTTCATTATAGTAACGTTTTGAGAACTTTTGTACTTTTTTGGTCAAATACAATTTTCAAGTCTATTTTTTTCTTTTCCGGCATTTTATTTGAAGACAAGTAAGTCACATGAAAACGCTCATAACCGAATGATGTTTTCCGATAATCTATTAGTTATAAGTAAATGACGTCAATTTAGTCGGAAAAGCTCCCCAATGAATGAAAGCAACAAAACATTTTCATAATCAAAAGAACTCTCCTTTAAGCAAGTAAAGCGACAAAACCTACAGGCCGCTCAGGACACCTGTGCCCCCCTTTTTGTCCAATAAGGCCTCTTAGGCCACCCATGCCCCCCTTTTGTCCAGTAAGGCCTCTTAGGCCCCCATGCCCCCCTGTTGTCCACTTAGGCCTCTTAGGCCAACCATGCCCCCTTTTTGTCCACTTAGGCCTCTAAGGCCACCCATGCACCCCTTTTTTGTCCACTTAGGCCTCTAAGGCCCCCATGCCCCCCTGTTGTCCACTTAGGCCTCTTAGGCCCCCATGCCCCCCTTTTTGTCCATTTAGGCCTCTTAGGCCACCCATGCCCCCCTTTTGTCCACTTAGGCCTCTTAGGCCACCCATGCCCCCCTTTTGTCCAATAAGGCCTCTTAGGCCACCCATGCCCCCCTTTTTGTCCAGTAAGGCCTCTTAGGCCACCCATGCCCCCCTTTTGTCCACTTAGGCCTCTAAGGCCACCCATGCCCCCCTTTTTGTCCACTTAGGCCTCTGAGGCCTCCATGCCCCCCCCCTTTTTGTCCACTTAGGCCTCTAAGGCCACCCATGCCCCCCTTTTTGTCCACTTAGGCCTCTGAGGCCACCCATGCCCCCCTTTTTGTCCACTTATGCCTCTAAGGCCACCCATGCCCCCCTTTTTGTCCACTTAGGCCTCTCAGGACACCTGTGCCCCCCTTTTTGTCCAGTAAGGCCTCTTAGGCCACCCATGCCCCCCTTTTTGTCCACTTATGCCTCTTAGGCCACCCATGCCCCCCTTTTTGTCCACTTAGGCCTCTTAGGCCACCCATGCCCCCCTTTTTGTCCAGTAAGGCCACTTAGGCCACCCATGCCCCCCTTTTTGTCCACTTAGGCCTCTTAGGCCACCCATGCCCCCCTTTTTGTTCACTTAGGCCTCTCAGGCTACCCGTGCCGCCCATTTTGTCCAAAAAGGCCTCTTAGGCCACCCATGCCGCCCTTTTTGTCCAATAAGGCCTCTTAGGCCACCCATGTCCCCCTTTTTGTCCACTTAGGCCTCTTAGGCCACCCATGCCCCCCTTTTTGTCCAACGGAATTCAGGGCTCCACATAAAGAGTCAATCAGATTGCTACACATAAAAATAGAGTGTATCAAGCACCACACTGGAAGTTTGGGCGCGGCATGCATATCATCTGATATAAGGTCTTAGGAAACTCTTCATGATATACGAGGAACACTATTTAAGGAACATCGGTATTTTCAGCTATAAGAATGAAATTACCAGCTTTGTTGAAAGAGACATATACTCAGTTACTGAACGAGTGTTGATATATTTGATATCAAAAGATATCATCCAACATCATTCTTCCAACTTTTTCAATTTGTAGACAGTAATTAGCAGTGTCTTCAGTGTTAAAAGTACTTCTTATAGCTTCAGTAGCAGCGCCGTTAGTGATGTCATTTGATTGTGATGTCATGGTAACCAGTGACGTCACAATGGTCTGCAAAGCATTGTGATGTAATTTCATTGCAGCGATATCTACAGTGTAGATATCGCTTGATCTAATCCAAGCGATATCTCCTGTAGGAGCAAGTTTTGGATGATAAATCCCGGTAACTGGCACGTGCCGTTAAACGTCTCAACCGTATGGTTTATTGATCGGGCATAACGATTGATAACGCCTTAAGAAGTGTACAGGTAAGAAAATGAAAAATTGCGCGCAAAAGGCATGATTGAAGCTGGTCAAATAAAAGATGCCAGACACTTTTGTAAATATGGGCATGGAACAGATATTGACTTTAATGTATGTATGTATGTATGTATGTATGTATGTATGTATGTATGTATGTATGTATTCGTGCTTGTCACAACTCCTTTATCCACACACACATATATATATTATTCGTAATGACATATTTATTAATACATGTACTTTTTGTTGTTGTCCAGTTCATCTGCCTCTGGGTGATATATGTGTCGTGTGGATGGGCAGGTAAGTCAAATGCTTAGCGTGCATGTGTGCGCTTGTGCGTGCTTGCGTGCGTGCGTGCGTGCGTGCGAGCGATTGAGGAAATTGAAGGGTTGCAGTATACTACTTAGTTTTTGTTGGGGATCCTGAGACAGTTCATTGTCTTACAAAACTCAGCTATTTAACAATTCATGGAAATAATAATAATAATAATAATAACAACAACAATATAATAATAATAATAATAATAATGATAATAATGATGATGATGATGATGATGATGATGATGATGATGATGATGATGATGATAATTCTCCCAAAGAAAGGTGATCTGAGTGACCCTAAAAACTGACTGACCCAATTACTTGTTTGAACACACAGTACAAACTATTTACAGGGTGTCTTACCGATCTCGTGTCATCGTACTGCGCTTCGAATGACATTATCTACATGGTGCAGAAAGGAGCCAGAAAGGGATGTTGGGGTTGTAAGGATCAATTGCTGGTTCAGACAATGATCCTTGAAGAGGCTAAAACTTACCACTGTAACCTCTCAATGTTGTGGATAGACTACAGAAAAGCTTATGATTCTGTACCTCACGAATGGAATTTGAAGTCACTGGAATGTATTGACCTCCTCCTCGTTTTACTCAAGTCTTTTATGGATTGCTGGTCAACTCAACTTGAGATGTATTCGCAGGGACAGGTGGTGAATTCGGAACCCATTTCTATAACAAGAGGAATATTTCAGGGCGATTCTTTCACTCCTTTGTTTGTCATTAAATCCTTTAAGCTTTTTGCTTAGCAACGAGGAAGGTTATCATCCTGGACCTCCTCAGCACAGATCCCCAACACCCCTTCCTCACCACCTTTACATGGATGACCTTGAACTTATTGGCAAGGGAGGATCTACAACAGATTCTCCTTGTCGAGTCCTTTTCTAATGATATCGGCATGTCCTTTGGACTCGACAAATGCAACAATCTTCATCTAAAACGTAGCAAGATAGAAGAGGGAGGATCAGTCAGTTTACTTGAAGTTATTGACCATCTCGTGGAAGGTCAGGCCTATGCGTACTTAGGGATGCAGATTAGGGACAAACTCCAGAATGTCCATATCAAGGAAAAACTTCGGGCAGAGTACAAATGTAGACTTAAGAAAATCTGGAGTTCAGAGCTGAAAGCTCGCAATAAAGTAACAGCTACAAATACTTATGTACGCGTCCTTTCATATTCTTTTGGTGTTGTTGATTGGACATTCAGGGTATTGACACACTCACACGAAGAATCATGTCAGACAAAAGATCCCACCACCCTCGCTCTTCCCTCAATCGCTTATATTTGCCGATCATTATGGAAGGACGTGGTTTGATTAACGTTGGGGCTCTTCATGATAGAAATGTTTTGTGCAATTTTGCAAACATTTATTTGTCTGATGATCCTCTTGTGAAGCATGTCAAGACTTATGATGAAAACAAGGCATTCCACAGTTTCCTAAAAAGGGCCAAGGATGTGGGACATAATCTCAATGTCGGCGTTGATTTTGTTGATGGTTCTGTACTGCTGGACGGTACAGAAATGAGTGTCAACCATGCGAAGTGTCATATCAAGTCGGCCAAGTTTTTCAAGGAAAGGCTATCTGAACGACCACTGCATCGAGTTTATGTGCAGCGTGTTGAGAAGATCAGCAACCCTGCAGAGTCCTTCGCTTGGATGAAGTCGTCTGGCCTGAAAAGTGAAACAGAAGGCTTTCTGTTTGCTGCTCAGGAACAGTCACTTCCCACTCGAAACCCTCAATGCGTGATTTTGCATCAAAATGTAAATATGAAATGTAGATTACGTAATGAATTTAATGAGACTGTCCAACACATTGTCAGTGGATGCCCAGCATTGACACAAACACACATCTTAAGCGACATGATGGTGTAGCTCGATCATTTTATTACCGTCTTCGCCATACTTGTGGTTTTGACACGCGGTCCACCCATGGAATATGTAGAGGGCGTCATCGAAAATGATCAATACAAAATTCTTTGGAATAGACCCATTTACAGCCTCATACGTATCAAGGCCAACAAACCTGATCTTGTCCTTTTTGATAAATCCAATGAAATCATTTATATCATTGAATTTTCTGCCCTTAATACGTGGCAAATATGCGGACCAAGTTGTCCGACTCCCTAGGTTTTGTACCTCCCAATCTGTGACCAGTGTGATTAAACAAACCAACATGATGCTTAGCTTTTGAATATTGTGATATTTCATACATTTACAAAAATGAGAGGACTATTTTCTCACGTCAAAGTGAAATTAAAGCTGCCCATTCCATATCCAAAAGAAATCTCTGCATAACGCAGAGTCGATTGTGCGATTCCGACTATATCATGAGCATGTATTAATGAATCACTATCAAATAGTAATGATACCAGGTGTTCGCTAAAAGGTGAGCGTATCCTGCCCCACCGGTAGCACCCGTCACAAACACATGCAAAGGCAGGTCAACTGTTCACCTGAAAAAAACGCGGGTACAAGGTACAAGGCAAAATAGAAAACGAAGGTTGACATGAAAAGATCAGTTCAAAGAAATATCGAACGGCATTAGTGTGTATCGTGATTATATCCCATGCAGAGAAAAAAGCTTTCAATGTTCTTGTTATCTGCCATAATGCTGCTGATGTAGATAAAGAGGTAACAGGGGCACTAATGGGGAGATGGGTGTTATGACCAATTAAGTAACCAACATACTTTTCCTGTTATATGAATCTGATTCAGAGGAGGAATATTTAATGTAGTCTACATTTAACCCATACAGTACTTGGGTTTGAATCCTTATGGTTAAAGCGTTCGCTCGTCACGCCGAAGACCCGGGTTTGATTCCCGACATGGGTACAGTGTGTGAAGCCCATTTCTGGTGTCCCCCGCCGTGATATTGCCGGAATATTGCTAAAAGCGGCGTAAAACCATACCTACTCACTCACTTTGGGTTTGAATAGGTCTTCTGCAACCCATGTATGCCGTAAAAGGCGACTATGCTTGTCGTAAGAGGTGACTAACGTAGGGATGACCTCTACTCCCCACAGTCAATTTGTCGAGGATTGTTGACCAATGTAGCATGCTCTTTCTACGAAGAATTCACAGAGCGTCATACGACCCTGTTTGATCATGGTTACATCAACCAAGGCCTTACCAAAGCTTTTAAACGTTCATGGCAGACACATGTAGGGCATTTACATAATGGACGCATCAATATCCAAGGTAATATCTGATTCCCTGTTTTGAAAAGTACCAAATGTCGACGTGTTTATAAAGGTGAACTTGACTTTCCTTTGCATGTGTTTGTGATGGGTGCCCGGTGGAGCAAGATACGCTCTTTTCGCGGACACCTTGTATCATCACTGTTCGATAGTGACCTATAAACATATACTTACGATATAGTAAGAATCCTACAATGGACTCTGCTTTTAGCATATAATTTGTATGATAATAGAAAGAGTTTCGTCTTCCATTTTCACGTTCTCCTCGTGATCACTGGTGTCTGAAGATTTTTCGTTTTTATCTGGACCATATGTTATCCGCTGGTTGTAGACAGGTGCCGAATCACGCCAGCTAAACAAATTCATTTCCCAGTCTTGTTTATACTAACGTCGACTGTCGACGTTTATTGCCTATCATTGAAGCCCTAAATATACTTAAACCACTGTGTATTTGGATGCCCTTCAAGTTAAATTCAGAGTATACGTCAGGGTGCCTTGTACAAAGCAATCTTTTCCCTAAGGGGATCGTTACTCCCTTACCATTATATAGGCTTACGACAGTCGTAGCGCTAAAGTGATCGTAACTTCCATAATTTAACATAGACTTACGACAGTCTTAGCGCTAAGATTGTTTTGTACTCCAGGCCGTTGGAGGAAAACCAAGACAGACGTAGGTCGTTAAGGTTTCAGGATTTGCTGAAACCAAAACGCGGAAATGTTCCTGACATAACGAGGATGAATGTTGATAAGCAGGTTAATGACATTAATATCAGATGTTTTTCTCTATCACGATGTCTTTGTGCGTGCCACTTACGAAACATTCGTCAGAGTATATCTAAAAAATTGTCTTTTACCTATAAGTTCAAATGAAACAAGGCAAACATTTAGCAGGGTTCCTAAATACCCTCGAATTCGACTCAGCCCATTTCGAAGTTCCTGATTTGTTTGGTTGGTTTGTTGTTTAACGCCGCACTTAGCAATATTCCAGCTATATTACGGCGGTCTGTAAATAATCGAGCCTGGAACGTAAATGTAATACGTTTTCTTACCCTAAGACGGGGTGGATTGGAACCAGGAGTTGCTCTCCCGGTTATAGGTATATGTAATTAAGAAATAATTAAGATAATTAAAAGTGATTGATTGTACATGAATTATATGTGTGTATGATTTGTTTGTTTGTTTGTTGTTTTACGCCGCACTCAGCAATATTCCAGCTATATGACGGCGGTCTGTAAATAATCGAGTCTGGACCAGACAATCCAGTGATGGACATCATATGCATCGATCCACGCAATTGAGATCGATGACATGCATCAACCAAGTCAGCGAGTCTGACCACCCGATCCCGTTAATCGGCTTTTACGACAAGCATAGTCGCCTTTTACAGCAAGCATTGTCGAAGTTCATGAAAGAATCACATCTTTTGCGTCACAATGAGCGATATGATGTCATAATGGTGACGTAATGGTGACGTAATGGTGACGTAATGGTGACGTAAGGTGTAGAAGCTACAAATTCAGTAAAGCGCGTTTAAATCTACAGGTAACCTAGCTCTTCATTGAAAACACAGGATGTTTATCTCCTTACTGATGTTATAATTATGTTCAATGTGTTGCTAGTTTCAGAGGAGAATAACAGATCGAATCTGCGATGCTACTCCTGTCTGGATGCCCAAGATCCGATGTCTTGCAATGCCTATGAAATATGTGGTGCAGGGGAGGTAACCGCTCATCCTCTGTTTAAAAATACGTAACACAGTTGACGAAGTCCCACAAAAGACGCATTACACTTTAATTAAAAAAGATGCTTCACAAATGATATTTCAAGAGCGTCAAAACCACCTAAAAACCTTGCATTACGTAAAGAGATCCTTGAAAACGGTAACGTTTAGTTTTATAAACCTCCAGTGACGTCATCCTATTGTTATCCAGTCTGGTTATATCTCATAAACTTTTATATATCCCGGGGATTTTCTATGATTACAACGTGATATTGTAACATGTGACTGACCCTCCCCTGTATACAACGTGGACAAAGAAATTAAGTAACATCAAATGCCAAAGGTTTTCTGTAGAGTTCAATTTGATCGCACCCACAACCTCCATGTCTGATGTACGCCATGAAGAGATATTTTACGCCCGTTACTCTAAGTTCACTGAAAGTATGTTTGAAACATAAACTTGTTGATAAATGTTGTTTCATAATTTTTGTGGGTTCAAAGGTTACACAAAACACTTCCCCTCGGGATGTTATGATATTTACAATCCCCGCACGTGGTTTATCCTCAACATAAAGTACTGACCAATATTATCTTCTTCAGGCAGCGATACGGGACGCTGATCAATTGGCCACAGTAGGCCTGTAAGCAACCCAAGATCAACTTGATTGCATACAAATGCTCCTCCTACTATTATTACTACTACTGCTTTAACTATTACTACTATTGCTACCATTAGTATTCTTACTACTATCACTAGTGTTACTACTACTACTTCTGCTGCTGCTGCTGCTACTGCTACTACTACTACTATAACTAGTACTGCTTTAACTATTACTACTATTGCTACCATTAGTATTCTTACTACTATCACTAGTGTTACTACTACTACTTCTGCTGCTGCTGCTGCTACTGCTACTACTACTACTATAACTAGTACTGCTTTAACTATTACTACTATTGCTACCATTAGTATTCTTACTACTATCACTAGTGTTACTACTACTACTTCTGCTGCTGCTGCTGCTACTGCTACTACTACTACTATAACTAGTACTGCTTTAACTATTACTACTATTGCTACCATTAGTATTCTTACTACTATCACTAGTATTACTACTACTACTTCTGCTGCTGCTGCTGCTACTGCTACTACTACTACTATAACTAGTACTGCTTTAACTATTACTACTATTGCTACCATTAGTATTCTTACTACTATCACTAGTGTTACTACTACTACTTCTGCTGCTGCTGCTGCTACTGCTACTACTACTACTATAACTAGTACTGCTTTAACTATTACTACTATTGCTACCATTAGTATTCTTACTACTATCACTAGTGTTACTACTACTACTTCTGCTGCTGCTGCTGCTACTGCTACTACTACTACTATAACTAGTACTGCTTTAACTATTACTACTATTGCTACCATTAGTATTCTTACTACTATCACTAGTGTTACTACTACTACTTCTGCTGCTGCTGCTGCTACTGCTACTACTACTACTATAACTAGTACTGCTTTAACTATTACTACTATTGCTACCATTAGTATTCTTACTACTATCACTAGTGTTACTACTACTACTTCTGCTGCTGCTGCTGCTACTGCTACTACTACTACTATAACTAGTACTGCTTTAACTATTACTACTATTGCTACCATTAGTATTCTTACTACTATCACTAGTGTTACTACTACTACTTCTGCTGCTGCTGCTGCTACTGCTACTACTACTACTATAACTAGTACTGCTTTAACTATTACTACTATTGCTACCATTAGTATTCTTACTACTATCACTAGTGTTACTACTAGGGCTGCTGCTGCTACAACTTCTGCTGCTACTGCTACTACTGATACTGCTACTTCTACTACTACTACTACTACTTCTACTACTTCTACTTCTACTACTACTGCTTTAACTATTACTACCATTGCTTCTACTACTAGTACTACTACTGCTGCTGCTACTGCTACTACTACTGCTGCTGCTACTGTTGCTTGTACTGCTACTACTGCTGTTACTACTGCTAATACTACTACTACTACTGCGGTAGTTGTTACTACTACTACTGTTACTGCTGCTACTACTACTTCTACTGCTACCACTACCGCTGCTGCTGCTGCTGCTACCGTTGCCTCTACTACTACTATTACTGCTGCTACCACTACTGCTGCTGCTACTTCTACTACTACTGCTGCTGCTGCTGCTACTACTACTACTACTGCTGCTGCTGCTGCTGCTGCTGCTACTACTACTGCTGCTGCTGCTGCTGCTGCTATTCCCTGCTATTTCTCCTACTACTACGACTACAATTACTACAACTATTACGTCTACTGCTACCACTACTACGACTACTACTCCTACTGACACCACAGGTGTATTCCTACAACACGACGACCGTCCGGGGAACATTGGTGTTGCTGTTTATTACGGCATGCGGAGTACAGTTACCGATGGCTGCTTGCGAGATCAGTGGAGTGACGATGATGAAACCTGTCTAGTCTGTGGGATGCATGGGTCGCCCAGTCGTCTGAGGCGCCGCGATTCCTGTGCAGAGTTGCGTCCCTTGGACACGCCAGAAACCTATGATTGTGGGTTCGAATCCCGGTTCGCCCAGAGAATGTTTCTAGGTTTGTCAGCACCATACCCGTGCTCGTAGGTTTCACCGAAGTGGTAAACGTCTGTGACCTGCATCACTTCGGGCTTTCTTCCTACATTAAGCTGACACGCCGCGATATAGTTGGAATACTGTTAAAAACGACGTTAAACCCAACTCACTCACTCACTGTCTAGTCTGTGCAGTTTGCCTCTTGGACTGATTTAAAGAGGCAATTGTTAATGCGTACATAAAATCTTCACAGAATTTCGCACTTCATACTTCTTGATACACAAAAATGAACTATTATGGTGATTTGTAGGAATGTCAACAACAACAACAACAACAATAATGTCATGCCCGGAAATTCATGACTATCACCAATAATCGGGCGTAATCGACAAATAACTGCATAACTGTCCTGTATGGGATTTTGTGCATTACAGATATAATCAGTTCTGACTGGTCATTTGAAGTGATATACGTCGCATCAAAGTGAGAGACAGCGAACTGATAATGGATGACGTCACAGGAGGTTTCTAAATTTGTTTAAACATTACGACTTTAAGAATTATAGCAAAAACAGCATTAGCCTCTTGTTGACCTTAAGCATAAAATAAGGCTATCGTCTAGAATGTTTTAAATTCAGTTAAAAGTGGAGGGGAATTCATATAACGGAGGTACTGAAATTGGGGGATTTTTGTCACTGAAATGATTAAAAACACATTCTTGCAGGAATGCTTCACTCGAAAATTCACAGATCACCTTGGGAGGGCTGCATTCCGACTTGGCTGTGAGTCCAAAATGGTAAGAAAAGTTCTTGATGGATTCGTTCGACATGGTTTTATTACTAGCACTGGTTTGTTTGTTCGTTTGTTTGTTTGTTTGTTTGTTTGTTGTTTAACGCCGCACTCAGCAATATTACAGATATATGACAGCGGTCTGTAAATAATCGAGTCTTGACCAGACAATCCAGCGATTGACATCATGAGCATCGATCCACGCAATTGGGATACAATGACATGCATCAACCAAGTCAGCGAGCCTGACCACCCGAACCCGTTAGTCGCCTCTCACGACAAGTATAGTCGCTTTTTACGGCAAGCATGGGTTGCTAAAGACCTATTCTACCCCGGAATCTTCACGGATCACTAGCACTAGTAACATGTGTTAGTTGCCAAATGTGAGAGTTTCATCGACTTGCTCAGCCAGCGAAACCTTTTTCGCAAAGGGTTAGTGTTGGTGTTAGTGTAAAATCTATACTATTTTAAGTTCTCTTTAAAACTTATGGTTGAAGCAAAATGAATAATACAAGAAAAGCAGGGTCTTTGGTTAGCAAGACAAACCAAAGTTACTTCCCTTTCCATGTTTAAACTACTCTGGAAGATCCCGGTTAGAATTATTCTTCAGTAACCCGACATGCTTGTCGTAAAAGGCGACTAACGGGATCGGGTGATCAGGCTCGCTGACTTGGTTGATGCATGTCATCGTATCCCAATTGCGTGGATCGATGCTCATGATGTCAATCACTGGATTGTCTGGTCCAGATTCGATTATTTACAGACCGCTGTCATATATCTGTAATATTGCTGAGTGCGGCGTTAAACTGTTTCCCAAATGCGTACATCAATGATCATGATTGTACGGTCCCCACTCGATAATTTTCAAACTGCCGTCATATAGAGGGAAGATAAATATCAAATGTCCCTTTGCATGTAGCTGTGATACATCAAGTCTTATCACAGATGACAATGCGGCGTTAAACAAAATAATTTCTTTATTGTTATTGTTTCTTTTCTTGTGACATTGAACCTTATTAATGTTTTATTTTATTTCCAGCTTTGTAATCTCTACAAGAGCGCACTCACTATTGTGGGTAAACGTTCCATCGAGGATGACAGTCAAGACAACTGCTTCGACTGTTGTGACGCTGACAGTTGTAACGTCAACATGTGTGGTGGTAACGCAACACAACAGCAGACAACTCCCCCGAATATAACTGTGACTTTGACCGAGACAACTCCAGCATCCACGACTGCTGAAACGACCACACCACCACCACCCAGTACGTCTTTGTTTCTGGTCAAGACTCGAGTGTCAAAATGTCGGGTTTATTATTTGGCGAGGTGTCAGGCTTAATTGTTTTTTTATAAAAACTGTTTGATTGGCTGGTGGTACTGATTGAATAGGACTTGTTTACCCTTTTCGCGAATACCCGGTGTCATCATTGATTTGTGACCCGTGAAGATCCGGGGTAGAATAGAGTCTTCAGCAACCCATCATTGCCGCAAAAGGCGACTACGCTTGTCGTAAGAGGTGACTAACGGGTTGGGTGGTCAGGCTCGCTGACTTAGTTGATGCATGTCGTCGTATCCCAATTGCGTAGATCGATGCTCATGATGTCAATCACTGGATTGTCTGGTCCAGACTCGATTGTATACAGACCACCATCATATAGCTGGAATATTGCTGAGTGCGGCGCTAAACAACAAACAAACATCACAGATTTGTATACTTTGTATACACTTCAACATATATTTCAGAGTGTCCCAACACCTATCTGACCGGCCCCGGATCCTGCTACCTGCTCGTGAACTCCTCGCATACGTGGCATGAGGGGGATGTGCTGTGTAAACAGATGGGGGACCAACTCATGTCCATCAACGACAAAACAGAGGACGACTTCATCTCCAACTACCTCAGCAATCTCGCAGGTCATCACCATCAAATTGTTAAAAATTAGGCACCCCAGTAGCATGTCGTAAGAGAAAAACCACATCAGGATCCGGTTGTCACAATGCTATGATCGTTGCTCACACTATCAACCACGGGATTGACGTTTTACTTATTGGTTGTGTTGACAAAGTTCCTGTTTTCTTACTGGGCGTGGCGCAATTTTCATCTCACCCAGATGATCCGGGGTAGAATAGGTCTTCAGCAACCCATGCATGCCGTAAAAGGCGACGACGCTTGTCGTAAAAGGCGACCAACGGGATCGGGTGGTCAGGCTCGCTGACTTGGTTGATGCATGTCATCAATCCCAATTGCGTAGATCGATGCTCATGATGTCAATCACTGGATTGTCTGGTCAAGACTCGATTATATACAGACCACCGTAGCACAGAGTGCGGCGTAAAACAACCAACCAACAACCAACAACTATATGAATTTCACACCAGTCCAACCCCGAATACTGAATGGTTCGTCCGTTATGCAAATTCGCAATAAACCTCTGATACATTTGCCACTGAATACACATGTGATGTCAACAGGTTCTTCACAGCCAGATGGGTACTGGGTGGGCGGTTTCTTCGACAAGAGCACGTCACAGTGGGAGTGGCAGGATGGTACACATATGACGTACGTCAGATGGGGTCCTTACCAACCAGTGTCCTTCGTCAACTACCACGTGAACCTCATCAACCAACGTGTCTCTCTGCTGTATAACAACTGGCAGTGGTCTACTAACGTCGAGTATGCTAGCAACAGATGGCTCATTTGTGAACGTTCGTTCAATTAAAGTGGACGTCAAGCGTTGCTCCCTAAGTTGGATCCGTTTGAATAAATTAATATGAGAAACAACTACGTGTCTGTACATTTGTGAAAGTTTGTTTGTTTGTTTGTTGTTTAACGCCGCACTCAGCAATATTCCAGCTATATGACGGCGGTCTGTAAATAATCGAGTCTCGACCAGACAATCCAGTGATTGACATCATGAGCATTCATCCTCGCAATTGGGATCGATGACATGCATCAACCAAGTCAGCGAGCCTGACCACCCGATCCCGTTAGTCGCGTTTTACGACAAGCATAGTTGCCTTTTACTACAAGCATGGGTTGCCGAAGACTTATTGTACCCCGGATCTTCACGGGTCCAGAATTTTCAAAAAGCGGCGTTTAACCGTATTCAGCATCATTCATTAGATACAAAGTGGCTGAAGATGCAAAAATGTTTATAAAAAGAGGCGATGACGTGGGTGACACAACTGTGCGGACGACGGCTCATACTAGGCAAAGACGTTGACGTGGATGACACGAACGTAAACGGGCGACGCCTCATACATTTAAGCTCAAGTTTACTTATTGATTGTACAACCGCACCTTCTTTCAAATATCTGTTCATTTAAATATGTATGACTGCGCACTGTCTGACACTTCTACCAATCAATGAATGTAATCACTGTGACAATTTAATCATGTCTTCACTTCTCCAATATCAATATAAGTCTGCTGAAGCTTACCGTTTGAGTCATCGTCTATTACAAACTCAACTGGATATATCGTGTGCCCGTAACTCGGTATCGTGGCATCACATGTTATCTTGATGCATGTAACCTTGGGTGTGGTTACAAACATACCACGGTTGTTTAACGCCGCACCCAGCAAAATTCCAGCTCTATGATGGCGGTCTGTAAATAATCGAGTCTGGGCCAGACAATCCAGTGATTGATATCACCAGCATCGATCTTCGCAATATGGGATCGATGACATGCATCAACCAAGTCAGCGAGTTTGAACACCCGATCCCGTGAGTCGCCTTTTACGACAAGCATAGTCGCCTTTTACGACAAGCATAGTCGCCTTTTAAGGCAAGCATGGGCGTCCCAGTTATTTTGCGCTAAATCACGGATGTAATATCTAACCAAGGATTTAGTGCATGGGATTAGAAGTGGTGTCACAGATTTGTTGAGTGCTTCTTTTGCAGCAGCAACAGCCACTGAGTTGCCAACGATTCCAGCAAGGGTGGACAACCAACAGAAGACGATGTCGTATTGACCAGTAGCAAGATCATTATGTAGTTCAATTATGTCAAGTAAAGTGAGTGAGTGAGTTGGGGTTAACGCCGCTTTTAACAGTATTCCAGTTATATCACGGCGTGTCAGCTTAATGTGGGAGGAAAGCCCCAAGTGATGCAGGTCTCAGACGTTTACCACTTCGGTGAAACCCATGAGCACGGGTATGGTGATGACAAACCTAGAAACATAATTGGGGCGAACCGGGATTCGAACCCACAATCATAGGTTTCTGGCTTGCCCAAGGGACGCAACTCTGCACAGCGAATCGCGGCGCCTTAGACGACTGGGCCCCCCGTGTCCCCCGCAGCATGTATTGTATATCCAAATTTATAAGTGCCTTCCATTGACGACACTTCGTATTCGTCACTCCCCTCCATGTCGGAGATCTTGCAGACATTCCCGAGTCCAAGGAGAACGTTCCTGGTCTCTGTGTACCCCCCCCCCCCCCCCCCCGCGCCCTGTCAAACAGTAAAACTGCATCCTGACCCGAACGAATTGTTTAACAGCTTGGAGACAGGGAAGAGAGTTTGAAAATATAGTGGATTGTTGATGTTTAGACTGTTTGCTAAATTTAAGAGCTGTTAAAATGGCCTTTGATTCGGCTGTAAGTATTGAAGAGTTTCGTGGTCATCCAGTATGCACAGTTCTGGATCCAACGATGGTGGCGCTGGCAACAGCCTCAGCATCCTTAACTCCTTCTGCAAATATTGATTTGTAAGTATTGTATGTACTTCATAATTGATTATATTCTTGTTAGTACTGTAATTAACTTTTTCTGCTTTCTTTAGTTTGAACAGTGACAGGTCTACTTGTGGCTTTACAAATTGCCAAGGAGGAGAAGACATCAGACGGAAAGGAGATGTAAGTTCAATATCAGCACCATTAAGGAAGGACTTGATTCTTACAGGGTGAATAAGAGATGAGTTCTTATCGTTCAGATCCTCATAAAGGGGATAAAACACGCAGTTGTATGCAGGGTTGGACTCATTAGCATATAACTTTGTGATATACTGTAAAGATAGTTTAATGCGGCGATGTTTAAGAGAAGGCTAGTTGGCCTCAATATACAGGTTGACAGTCTGAAGTAGATCAAAGCATTATCTCTGCCCTAGTTATAATTAGGGTTGCTCTAACGCCATGTTTAAACAGACCGCCTCCGTGGTCTAGTGGTAAATCGTCCGCCCGAAATGTCCGGGGTTCGAAACCCGGCCGCATCATACCAAAAGACGTTAAAAGGTCGTACTTGTTGTTACCCTGTCTGGCGCTCGGCATTAAGGGGCTAAAACAAGGACTGGTCTGCTCGGAGTCAGTATACTGTGTCTGGGTGGGATATTCATGTTAAACTGCGGCATGATATCTCGGTGAGCTAGCACTTTAAATCGGCATCAGTCCGGACTAGTACAAGCAGCCACACAAACAAACACACGCACATGCACATCGCTATATAAGTGCAATAATCTTGGACGCGACGTTAAACCCCATTTCACCTCACCACAAACCATATCTAAAATTTATCACTTTATTTGGAGCTACTGTAATTGGATGTTGCAAGATCGATCTAATCGACTTCTAAATCAATGTTCTGCGGTTCTAAAGCTATTGGTTTGTTCCAAGCATTTCACATGCGCTGAGACGACAGACTGATCAAGTACTACTGTCACCGACAGTTCCCAGCATGGCCATATGCACTTTTATTGTCTTTGACAAAATCATGATGCAAATGTGGATTATTTTAGTTTTGAGCTCCACAACACTGTGTTTGAGAGAACATACTTTCAAGAAGACAGCAGGTGATGTTCGATCCCGTTTGGAAAACCCACAACGTCTTCAACTGCATACGGTTTCGGCGTTAACAGAATGTGGTCGACTGTGCTCACGAAGTTCATCGTGCATTGACTTGCAGTACTCCAGCACAAGACGAGCTTGCATTACTGGACACACAGAAGACGTATCTGATGGCGTAATGTCCCAGAGTGGACTGTTTGACTTGTACAATTGGTATTTTAAAGGTAGAGGTTTATATGAATACATGTACCCATGCTTGCCGTAAAAGGCCACTATGCTTGTCGTGAGAGGCGACTAACGGGATCGGGTGGTAAGGCTCGGGAGTCATCGTATCCCAATTGCGTGAACTAAGTGTTCACCTGTCCTGGAGTTATGTTGTACTAATATTCACATTTAATATGTGAGTAATGAGTGAAAAAAAATAAAAATACAATCTTTAAATTCTCAATAATTTCTGCTCATACTGTATATCCCAATTGCGTGGATCGATGCTCATGATGTCAATCACTGGATTGTCCGGTCCAGACTCGCTAAGTTTGTTAGTAGGCCGATATTCTCACAATTTTCACGTCGCGTGTCCTTATAGACCTTATAGACCTATTCTCCCAATACCAATTGTCACATTGTAGTTAACTTTTTTGGACAGAAGGGGGTGGGGTGGGGGGGTGGCAGATATTTGTACATTTGTATCATTTGTCCCCAACTTGATTCAAATAAAACTGTTTTCTATAAAAAATCGAATCATTTGCAAAAAAGGAAAGTAGTAGCTTCACTTGATGATGATGTTACACGTGTCGCATCTTGGTGTGTTACGTCTACTTACACACGATACACTCTCTGTACAAGAATATTTGGATGGACAAATATTTTGCTTGAGATTTTTTGGCTATCTGGTACTTTTTACAATTTTAAATTTATTCAGTCCTTGTTTCACTTTCTCACTTTGCTGTAGAATTGGGAGGTTGTCCCTTATGACTGGCATGATAATACAGTTATCAGGATTGAAGGTGGATACAAATGGAATAATTTGATCGCCCACAGATTTTTCATTAGGTTTCAAGAGAGTATGTCTTAGAAGTTTTATCGACTTTTCTATAGCGTCATTTATTATATAATGATATAAGCGGATATCCTAGTTTCTTTAGATACCTTATCAATTATTTCAATCTTAAGTCTCTTTTATCCGTTTCCGACACGATGGTGCATACTCTCCGCGCAAGTGAATAAGGAATGTTAGTTCTTGTATGCCTGGGGTGACGTGAACCGAATTGTAAGTATAGATGGGTGTATGTTGGTTTGTAGCTGATATAGGTTTTCAGTTTAGTATCTCCCTTAACTAAGAGGACGTCCAGACCCTCGCTCTCGCTAAACTCCATAGTAAAACTGATGGAAGGATGGAGCGTATTAATAATATCCAGAAAGGTGTCTAAATCTTCACGAGTTGAGAGCCAAACTAAAAAACAATCGTCTTAGACTCGCTTCCAAGTTTCGCGCACATGCTTGGCGATGGATTCTCACATGGAATCTTGTACCTTCCTGTAATTAATATCCCCTAAATAAACCATCACAAGTGTAGCGTATGTTGGAGCGACTTTCGTTCCCATGGCCGTTTCCTTTCTTTGATGATAGAATTTTCCGTTAAATTCAGTGTTAATAGCCTCAGGACGTTTTCTCAGCCCAAATTGAACTGCTTCCAATCCCAAGTCATGGAATATGTTGGTATATAAACTCTTCAATGTGACTAGAGTCGCATCTTTAGGTACGGCATCGGGAAGGTCGTTAAGAAAGTCCATCTCTTAGTAAACTCGGTACATGCTTTGTTAGTGGTTTTAAGATCATATCGACGAGATTACAAAGGCGCTGCGTCGGGCTGTTCGGTCCTCCGATAATCGGCCTGAATGTCAAGTCAGGAGAGCACTCCGAATTCTGTTCTGCCATGGCACTATTTATTTACCTTTATGGATCTTGGCTAGTCCGTAGTTAAACTGACCTGTTCAGTGA